ATTATTTTCAAGAGTGTTAAAATTCTTCTCATAAAATTCAATAATCTTTCAAATTTATCAAAAATTCTGGTAAAAATTCCAATTATCTTTATAAATATAACAAAATTCTTCCCCAAAGTTCAATTATTTTCAAATCAATTTCAAATTCCCAAAAATTGTACGCAAACATTTAATTATTTTCATAAATAATACAAATTTCTCAGGAATTCAATTATTTACAAATTTTTAATAAATTCCTTCCGAATAATTCAATTATTTTTATAAATAATAAAATTTTTTTTAAGGAATTCAATTATTTTCATAAAAAAATATAATTAAAAATTGTAGAAAATAATTATTGATTTGAAATGATGAAAATAATTTTGAAAAAGTTACTGTAATAATATTCTTATAATATAGAACAATGATTTTATCACTCGATCATCTTTAATTATTAGAAAACATGAAAAAATCGATCACTCCGAGTCTTCGACTCGGAGCAATCGTTATCTTCATGTTTTATAAAAATATTCTTATAAGTTATTGAATTTAAAAAGATGTGAATTTGAAATTTTTAAAATTCTTAATTCCTATGGAAAAATAATATTGATTGAATATTTATTTTAAAAAAAAGTTATTAATGTTTTCGAATAATTTTACAATTAAAGAAATTCGTAGATAAATATGTAACAGAACAGTTTTTTGAGTAAAATTTTTTCCTTTATTTTCTAAAAATTTTAAAAGTTTCAATTTAATTTTCAATTAAAATTTGTAATTGACAAATAGAACACGGAGAGAAGGGCGTAGTCAGATTAACTGCGCAAATCGACTATTCTGAATAGTCGATTTTGGACTGACTAAACTGGTAGTAGGATTTACTAAACAGGCGTTTAGTCATATTGTGACTACTCAGGAAAAAGTTAATTCAACTGCACAGAAAGTCAAATGGACTAAACTGTTTAGTAAAATGTAAAAATATTGAAATATTGTTTTCTACATTTATTTGCAATAATTTCAATAGTAGTAGAAAGTCAACGTGAAATTTTTATATTTTAACAGAAAACAAAAACATAATTATCACAAAAATTTCGAGCAGTTAATTTGCATATTTTTAAGAGGTTATGTTGATTTTTTCTGTAATCACTACAGAAATTATTTTTCAAATTAAATATAGAAAACTGCATTACTATTGGTAAACAAATGTTTGTCAATAATAGAAGCGTTTCGTTCAATTTCTAACCTCAAAATAAGCCCTTCGTGAATATCGAAACTTACCTGCAAACGCAATGAGTTTCTGAAAAATATTGTTATTGAAAAATATAAATTATGCTTAAAATATTTCCTATTTCTTAATTATAATTTTTCTAACAATTAACAATTTTCTCATATTTTTTATAAATAAAAAGGAGAAAAATTTGCATAATTTAGATCAGTCAAACGAAATTTGTTATAAAAAAGCATATAATAAACAAAATGGATAGGTATATATTTTTTTATTTGTTAATCATAATTTTTTTATATTTTCTAATTTCAAATATTGTTTTATTATAAATCATGAAAAAATACCTGCATATTTTCGATCTGTCAAACAATATTTTTTAAAGAAAAAAAAGAAAAAAAAACAATAAAGCATACAAAAAAACTAACTTTAAAGTGTGGACAGACAGAATGAAAGAATAAAATGTACGAAAATTATTATAGTTAATTATTTTTCATTCCTATATTTCATTCCTTTTACCTACATATTAACAGTACACAATTCTGCAATTTATTCTTTTAGAAACTTAAATATATGAATATAAATAGATAAAATTACAACCGCAGATAAAATTGATATATTATTATATATATATATATTTTTTTTGTCAACGTGGGAATAGTAATTAATTGCCAAAAGCCTTGTCGAGAGGGGAATATATTTGAATTGAAGGCGGTCATAATATTCTAGTGTGTGCTCTCGCATAGTTCATTAATGTAAATTAATTATAACGTTCATCACGACGATAGATGTAAAGCGTGACAGCTGAGATTTACAGAGGATTCAATGACCATTATTATCACATATATAAATTCTCTCCAGAATAATAATTAAAGACGCATTCTATATATATATATATATAGCAAACAGTAATATACCTGTCGGAATGCAACTCAGTTTTCATGAAAAATTATTTTATTATTCTTTATTTTATTAAGTACTTTTTTTATTAAAATTATCTACTAAAATTTTCTACCGTCATTTTCTCCTCTTTGAACTTTATTTACTTGAAATCTTACCAACACAGCTTTATCTACTATAATATTAAGTGTTGTTTGAATATAATTATCTTTTCTACTTAATTGTAAATATTTTCCTGAATAAATTACTTTTCTTAAATATTAAAACTTATAATTAGTATAATAGACATGACAAAATGAATTAAATTACTAAATATAAATATTCTACTTAAAAAATAATTATTGTCTTTAAAGTAAAGTACCTTATATCGCAGCAACCTAACACTGTCTGGTCGAAAAGACTTTTTCTACTTAAGCGTAAATTTCTTCTACCTAAACCTTATTTACTATTTCCTGTCTGACTAGAATGACTTTTTCTACTAAAACATACCATTTTTATATTCAAAACTATTTTAACGTTTACCTACTGTCTGACTAATATAAATTTTTCTACTTAAAAACAATTGTGGTCTTTATATATAGAAAAGTAATTTTTATAATACAACATAATAAAAAATTATATGTTCTATTTGAACATAAATTTTTTCGATCTAAACTTTACTCACAACAGTGAGTAAATATAACTGTCTGACTAAAGGAACCTTTTCTACTTAAACATAGGTACATTTTTCTATCTGAATTTCATTTACAATTTACTTTCGGACTGAAATTAATTTTTCTATACTTAAACGCAAAATTTGTCTATTCAATTTTTTTTTAAATTGACTGTCTGATTAAACTGAATTTTTTTACTTAAACGTAAATTTTTCTATTTAAACTTTATTTGCAATTTACTGCCTAACTAAAATGGATTTACCTACTTAAACGTAAAATTTGTCGCTTTAAATTTTGTTTACTATTTATTGTCTGACTAAAATTACTTTTTCTACTTAAACATAAAATTTTTTTATCTAAACTTAATTTAAAATTTATTGTCTTGCTAAAGTGGGGTTTTCTACTTAAACGTAAATTTTTTTCTGTATAAATTTTATTCAGTTTTTACTTTCTGGGTAAAATAACTTAAAATTTCAATTAAATTAACTGAAATTCATTCTTAAATCAATTTTTATTTGATAATTCTACGAGAATAATTGAATTTATTTATTTCTTTATTTTAGAAACAATTAAATAGAAAAATAAATAATTTATTGAATAATTGAATGCTTCTCAAAATTAAATTCTCATAAAGAATTTTCCAATAAATTTTTGAATATGCAATTAAATTATTTCGAAGAATTTTATTAAAATTTTAAAGAATAATTACATTGTTCGAGAAAGTCGATGAATATTGAATTAAAAATAATTGAAATTCTGCGATGAATTTTATTATTTTTATTAAATTGTCTTTGTATTTTGTATATCAAAATTTCGATTTGTCGAACTTTTTCCCCAATTTGCAAAATACTTTTACAAAATTTATAATATATATCCTCTCGCCGTGTAATTTTGAAATATTTAATATGTAAAATTATTTATGAAATAATTTATAAGTTATAATTTATGATAGTTCTTCACGAATTAAGTTATTTAAAAATAAATTATTGTCAGGAATAGAAAAATTTGAGGGTTTAGTATTAGAATTCGTGTCAATTTCATAATTTATGACACAAACAAAAAAGACACCAAAATTCTGAAATTTCTTTTGAATTTTAAACATTTAATTTTTTCCAGTACTGTAAATAAAAATCCCTAACTTTTCCCTGACCTATAACACTCATGAATTTCAAGCAAATTTACGGACCTAAAATCGCAACGAATTGGTACCAAAAATATGGATTAAATCATAAATCGATCCTAATTTTTTGGTATCAATTTGATCCACTTTGGTCTGAATTTAATACTTTCAAGAAAACTGTGTCTTTAATTCAAAAATAATTTTTAGTTGACTGTATAACAAAAATAATTATATTTGATTCAAATAAATTGTTTTCTCAGTGTGGCTGTATAATTTCTTCTTATATATCAAAATCTCAAAAAATCTTTTCAAGATTTTCTCTGGATTTTTCAGTTTTTCTTTTTCTCTCCTTTATTTTATTTTCTACTCAACTATATATATATATGTATGTATTGAATGTATTGAATGTATAGAATATATAAAATGGTAAAACGGACAAAATTGAAGCAATCAGGTTTTGTGTTGTGTACGTAATGTAGTTCTCTAAGTTGAGCTTATATTTGCCATCATTGGAAAAGGGTGGAGGTCCTTTCACAGGTTCTCCTGGCTATTTAATGAACACACCGGCACAAAATGCAACTATACAGACCATACAGACGACTTGACTGAGAGAGAATCCAGTGCCGAATGCGAGATGGTGGATCTGCGCAGGGATCGTATCTGCGGACACACCAATCAGCTTCACAACTCAGTTGGTTTCGCGCTACACGCGTGTTCACTTCGTGTTTATTCACCAAGTTTTTTCGCGTCCTCAAAACGAAAATATTAAATAGAAAGAAAAACTAAATTTATAAATTTACTCACATGTACACAGTGACACTGAAAATTGTCAAACGGATTCACATACAAAACACCACCTTGTAATTTATTCAAGAGAGAAATTTCTTATTTTCATTCCTTTCACTAATTATTATTATTATTGTCGAGTGAAAAAATTACAAACAGAAAAATTAATTGTAATTATGATAATAAATAATTGTAATTGTAATCGAAAAAGTATAATTACAATAACAAAATTATAACTATAAAAAGATTATAATTATAATAAATAATTATACTTATAATAAAAAATTATAATAAATAATTATAGTTATAATAAAAAATTATAATTACAATAATAAATAATATCATAACATAATTTATAATTATTAATTAAAATTATTCATCAACTAAATTAATGAACGTGAAGTAAAAAAAAGTGCAGTGAATAAAAAAGTAAACATTATCATGTTTCGGAAATGGTGAGTCAATATTTGATTTGCATCTTTTTTGAAAACTTTTTTCCACTACACAACAGTTGAGAAAAATTTTATTTCCAGGTATAATTTTTTTTTCTCAAATAAAATACATTTTAAAAATCTATAAAAAGAATATTCAATTTTTTTTTTGAACTATTTTCATAAAAGTTAGAATTAAAACAATTGTATTTATTCATCTGATTGGATGTTTTTTTTATTGAAATTGTTTACTTAAATTATTACTAAATTTACAATTTATTTTCAAAGTGGATTTAAAATTTTTAACTTTAAATTACTTTGAAAATTGAAACAAAAACAAAATATACAAAAAGTTGTAAATTCGTTCAAAATAAAAAAGGTTTAACATGAAAATTAAATTAAAAAATTAAAACAAAAACAAAATGTACAAAAAGTTGTAGATACGTTCAAAATAAAAAAAAAATTGAAAATTTCTTTAAAAAAAAAAATTAGTTTCAAGTGCAGTGATTGAAAAAAATGCAATTAATATTTTCGAAATTAAAACAAATTCAATAAAGAATAATTTAAAATTGAAAAAAAAAATTACTTTCATTCGCTGGGTTCATGAAAACGAAAAGTGCTGAAAAATAATTAGTTTCAGAAATTAAATTATTTTTCATTTTGAAATTTTAATTAAATAAGAATTCTCAATTCGGAAGTGAATTTAAAAATATAATTTTTTTTCTTCACGTGAAAATACAGAAGTTTCATTTTAATTTGAATAAATTTTCCTCAGCTCGAAAAGTTTACGAGTAATCTTAGAAACAATATTTCTTTAAAGATAAAGTGTTCCACGTGTGTGTACAACTATAGCACACATATTATACAATAATAATTATAATAATATAATAAAAATAATAACAATAACGACATTTATTATTATTTTTACTTTTAATTTCGTCACTTTTCGTTTATTTGGACAAAAAATATTTTGTATGTAAATAAATTTATTTAATAAATAAATAATAATATTAATAAAGATATTTATTATTATTTTTATTTTTAGTTTCATTACTGTTCGTTTATTTTAATAAAAAATATTTTGTAAGTAAATAAATTTATTTAATAAATAAATAATAATAATATCAATAAAGATATTTATTATTATTTTTACTTTTAGTTTCATTAATGTTCGTTTATTTTAATAAAAAATATTTTGTAAGTAAATAAATTTATTTAATAAATAAATAATAATAATATCAATAAAGATATTTATTATTATTTTTACTTTTAGTTTCATTAATGTTCGTTTATTTGAATAAAAAATATTTTGAAAGCAAATAAATTTATTTAATAAATAATAATAACAATAACGACATTTATTATTATTTTTACTTTTCGTTTATTTGAATAAAAAATATTTTGTGAGTAACTAAATTTATTTAATAAATAATAATAATAATCCAATTCAATATTAAATTACATTTAATAATAATAATAATAATAATACTAGTAAAATAATAATTTATTATTATTACTATTAATATTATTCTTATTCTTATTTTTATTATTGTTATTATTTTGTTAAAACTGTTTTTTAATCATTTTGCAATAAAAAGGCCTATTATTTTTTTATTTTATTTATTTATTATTATTATTATTGTTATTATACATTTTCCAAAAGCGTATATCACTGAAATTTTCGGATTATAAATGAAATCAAGCGCAAAAATCTTGAGATTTATTACAAAATTCAAGATATTAATCTCACGCATTTTATTCTCGTCTTAGAAACGACGAAATTTCGTTATTTTTATCAAAAAAGAAAAATAGAGAGAGAGACCTAGAATTTTTGAGGGTGAAAAGTTAAACTTAATTTGTACTTAAAATTCTAATCGGAATTTAAGCGATAAATTCTGACATATTTATAATCATATCGATCCTCTTGAAATACATTAGAGGGGAAAACTTTTTCCATAAACTGGATATATATACATAGTTTTATGTTTGTTTAGATTTACGAAAAATATTTAGATTTGAAAAATAAAATAAAACTAATTCCCAAAAGTTAAATATTATTTTGTTTCTAAATTTTTCAATTAAATAAATTTCTTTAATTAAATTAAATTTAAGTAGGTAAATCCATTTTGTTTTATTAAATACATTTTTGTATATAAGGTAAATTTGTTTAATTAAAGTACATTTTTTTAATTTGACACATTTTTGTAATTAAATAAATTTATTTAATTAAATAACTATTTTTCATTACTTAATCGCTTTTTATTTTTAATAAATAAATCTGTTTATTTAATTAGATTTATTTACAAAAATACACAAACTCAATAATGTCCTGATAAAGTAAAATTTTTTTTAAGTATGTAACTTTTTTAATCCCATACATTTTTTAAAAAATTTAATTAATTTTTCTAAATTTAAAAATTTTTTGAATAATAAATTTTGACGCGAAATTTAATTAAGGGAAAGTGCTCGCACGACGAGAAGATAAAAATAAATTTTCTTCCGTTACACCATTTTTGAGCCTAACCCCTTATTACATAATTAATGAATTTATTTAATTACTTCTCGGGGACAGTTAAAAAAATTTTAGTAAAATAATTACGCCTCTTTAATTATAATATACACTACAGTTTTAAATATTTTTTTATACTATTAATAATAATAATAATAATAATAATAATAATAATAATAATAATAATAATAATAATAATAATAATATAAAATATTCTAATCTATCTAATATAAAATTTATTTACAAATAATAATTACGTTTCCCAAAAAAATGTATAATTGTAATAACTATTATTAAGAAAAAAAAGAAATTAACAACAATGGATTAAGAATTTAATTAAATTATTAAATTATTATTACCTATTAACAATTTTTTAAAAGTTAAAAATTAAAAAAGTAAATTCAAAACAAGTAAAAAAGTAATATTTCCAAACTACTTTGAATCAATAAAGATTAAATTCAAAACTTACCCAAAGATAATAATGTAAAATTCAAAATTATTCTCCAAATTTAAATTAGTGAAAAATCGCCCACTAATTAAAATTAGTAAAAATTTCTACTAGTTGTTAGTAAATATTTCCTATTTCATTAAGAAGTTTCAAATTTTTTTACTAAAGTTTCAGTACAAAGTTACTAACAATTAGTAGAAATTTTTACTAATTTAAATTATCAGACGACTTTTCACTGATTCAGATTTAGAAGGATATAAAAATTTCTGTCCTAATTTTAAAGAAAAGTAATTTATTTTGAGACTAATTTCGAAGATATTTTTAATGGGGTTGATATAGATTTTTATTTCAATTTATTTTATTTTATTCAATTTTTTTTTTGTGTTTTTTGAATTTAGCTTAACTTCAGTTCGTTAAAATTGAGATGTAATTAAATTTTCACTTACACGTTTCGTATTTCAGTGATCGGATTCTGTTTATCGATAGAGAAACATTGACAGACACAGTAACAAACTTGATTAATGATAATGGAAATTGATGCTTTCAGTCTACATGCGCGACAAAACTTTTTATTTACAGTTAAAAGTTTTTAATTATTTTCTTTTTTTTATTTATGTGTGGAGAATTGACAGATTCTGTTCATTAAAAAGAACAATACGTTATACTTATTTTTTCCCTCGTTATTAAAAAAAATCAATTATTAATAATTAAAAAAAAATTAATTTTTCAATTAAAAAAATCAAAAAATTAAAAATATTAAATTAAAAATATTTTTATAAATTAAAAAATTAACTTTTCTTCGATATTAAAAAAATCAAATTATTACAATATTAAAATAAAAAAACAACTAAAAAAATTGAAAGGGAACTAAAAAATGAAAATATCTAAACAATCGAAATATTAATGAAAGATAACTTAAAAAATAAAAATACATTTACAAAGGTTTTATGAACTAAAAACAAAAAAAAAATAAAGAACGCAAGAATTGAAAAAATTTTTTTATAATAACGCAACAAGAAAAAAAAACCTACAGAGTAAATTATATTAATAGAAATAAAAAATATAAAAGCTACAAGTTAAAAATTAAGTGTTTTTTAAAATTAGACAATAAATCAAAAATTCATCATTTAAAAAAAAACGAAAAATTGGTTTTCTATTATTAAAAGAACGATCAGACTTAAATTTAGAAGCATTTCTAATTCAAATTCTTTCGTTCTCGTTAGGCGCTCAGTTTAGAATTTATTGTTAGAACAACACTGGAGCGATACTAGTTTGAAAGATAAAAACCAATTTTATAAAAATGTTAAAATAAGCATTTCAAAGTAGAAACAAATTAAAAGTATAATACATGCAAGAAGAAAGAAAAACAATTTTTTTTCCTTCGCATCTGCAAAAAATTTTTGAAATTTCGAAAATAAGAAAATTATTTTTTTGCAAATTAAAAAAAATGATAATTTAATAGTAAGAATAATTTAAAAAATAAATATAATACTAAAAAGTAATATAATAATAATAATAATGAGTAAAATAATAAATTAGCAATTAATTTAGAAAAAAATTAAATTCCAAATTAGTCAATTTATAATTTTGCTAAAGTTAACAATTTATAAATAAATTTTATACATTTTATCTTGTATGTTTATTTATCTACTTATTTATTTACCAATTTTTTATTTATTTACTTTTCTATTTATTTATTTGTCTATGCATTTTTACAACTATTTATTTATTTATTTATATATATATATATATATATATATATATATTTATTTCGAAATACATTTGGATTTGAATATAATTTCACATTTTAAAAGCAAAATCAAAAAATAAATGTTTGATTGAAAATTGTGCAAATTCTAGGTACTCTAAAAGTACATTATTCGATTTCTTTTTCTTATTATTTTTAAAATAAGCTCCTTAAAAGTGCATTGGAGAAAAAGAGATTTCCTACTATATATATATATATATTTATAAATATATATGTATATATAGTAGGAAGCAGAAACTCTGTCATTCAACTTATTTGCAATTCGAAGTATAAAGGAATTAATTTTCCTTCACTTTGCA